GACTTTTCCACAGCTCACTTTACAGAAATGTAGACTATTTGATTTGTCTTGATCACTGCGCAGTGGTTCCATGGTTCAAATATTGCTAAAATGAAGCAAAGAAAAAGAGAAGGACTTCTTGAAAGTGTGCACAATCTGCAGTGAGAACTTTTTTAAAATGCTTTTTTTCCCCAAGAATGAACTTTAATGAGTTTGACAAGAGCTTTTGCGGAGGGAAAAATACTCCCCTCTGTTGCCCCCTCTCTCTCTCTCTCTGTCTGTTTGAGGTGGCATGAAGACAAATCTGCAGAGTGTTCTTTGCCTAGGAGCTCATCTTTCTTTTAAATCTAATTGACTCAGGACCTCTTTTTATGACAACACTTAATCAAATGCCTTTGTTCAAGTGACTAAAAATAACGTGCTTAAAATGTCTGGTGTGAATTTGGCTCAGTAAAAAAAAAAACAATTAGTTTTCCATTTTAACAGTTATTTTCTTTTCACGGCCTCACTTGTCGTTTACAATGCTATTAGGAAACATAAGAAAAGACAATAAAAAATTATTGAAATTACTTTTGTCCACATTTTAAATGTATAAGCCCTGTTACAGCAATAAAAAGCAAGTTGAGTCTAAAGCTCAACATCTGAAGCTGTTTTTGTCTTCCTCCTCTATTGTAAACTTAAAATAAAGCTGAAACATTTTACTTTTAAACATGATTCAATTATTAATTTTTAAGACAGAAAATTTTGTCAAAAACTCTGTCACACTGTGTTTTGATTCACAAATAAATTGATTTAAATGTGGCCTGCATTCTCACCTCTATGAGAATGAAATTAACAAGGAACTCTGACAACTCTTGCAACAAATGTGTCCATTTGTTTAAGTGAGCATATATGTAAAAGTTGATAAAATAATGGTCAGAGTTCACCCTCTTTTTCCAAAGAAAGCTATCTGCAACAGGTAAGGTGTTATTTGTTCATAACCTTGCTGCCTGCAAAACTCCCCTTTATTGTGTTTTCTAGACACATAGTCAATTTTCTACCATAATCAAGTAAATATGTTACCTACAGTTGTTGTGAAAAAGCTGTAAATATCAAAGATAAATTTGACTTTAAATCATAGCCTATATACTGTATACATCTTGAAAATGGCCTCTGTTTTTTAAGAACCACCTACCGTTTTCAACACTCCCACTTCAGCACGTCTTAACAACAATGCTTAAGAGGGATGCTCTGTGGGGCGGGAGCTCAGAGACAGACTGAGCCCCAGGAAGGAGCTTTTTACAATAGGAAGTGCTTTGTATCAGCAAGTGTTTAGGCAGCTCCACGTGGCTACCACAGGAGATTCAACATAGCGTCTGCACTGAATTCTTCCTGCTGAAGGTGTCCAGCACCTACAGTCTCTAAAACTTTTTGCTTTCACACTTGGTGCAGGTGTGTTGTTGCTTCCAAACGTTTTTTTTTTTTTTTTTTTTCCTGGGAGGGCTGCACTGCTCTTCATCCGATTTACCACTGTTATCTTCATCTGTAGAAAGTTCTAAGTTCAACTCAGTGTCTGAATCATTTACTTCATCAAAAGCTTTCCCTCCTCCATCGGACCCGCAGTCGTCCATAGCAGTCAGTAATTCCAACATTTGCAAAGCAGTGTACGTCTTCTTGGGTGCCATTGTGTTTCTCTTCACTCCAAACACAATAGAAGGGTAAAAAATAATGATCTGCTCCTGTCTGTTTGTCTGCTTTTATTCTGTTCTCATAAGAACAGGACAACAGCTATTCAAATAGTTGCAAATTACTTTCTGCCACAGGTGTAAATGTGTTTCACAGGTGTAAATGTGTGGTATTTGTAAATTTTCTAAACTGAGCCACAAAATAACTTTTGTGCTCCCAGTCAAAATGGACTAATTTGATATATTCATTGAAAACAAAAATACAAAACCTTACTAAACACATAATACTTGAATCATGTAAGATGCATGTAAGATGCTTTGCCTGGGAGTCAGATGCTGTGAAAAGGACAAGTAAAATAAAGTGCAATCAAAACAAAGATGTCTTTTATAACACAAAGTAGGAATGTTGGTAGTGGATGAGTTGCATTGTGCTGCCATGCTAAAGACAGTTGCTTCTAATTTCAAAGACCTGAATTCAACAGCCAGTGGGTACATTTGGAAAAAAAAAAGAAAAAAGAAAATTCAATGCAGCAATACTTCTGTGGTTGTCAGCTGTTTTCCTCATGGGAAAGTCACACAAAGGAAAACACCTGACAGCCATAGAAATGAGCAAAACACCAGTGGCTATTCGCCTCCTTTTTGCTTAAACAGTAAGAAACTAAAAATACCCAGCAGAAACTGGGGAAAACTGTGTTGCTTTTCATTTTGGCCTTGTTTGCTAAACATAAAAAGACTGATAGGCTTAATTTTGTGATCAGAACATCTTGAAACTGCTCGTTGCCTGTTGGATATAGTGGTCAGAAGAGAGGGAGAGTAAAAACACACTGCCAGGATTAAACAGAGGAACTGAAAGCAAGACTACTACAGGCTAGAAGCGTAGCTGCAGAACCGTAGATGGGATTCTTGACCTATATAAAGCTTGGCGGGTGGACTAAATATATCTCTGGCTAGTTTCCATTGAGGACTGATGTTAATACACAGGACATCACTAACAGTGAATGGCAGGAAGTGGTTCTGGTGTTGCTGAGTTTCACTGGAGA